GCTTGCTGATAGAGGCATTAAACGTGATCAATTTACAATTGATCATTGACGTACCTGAATACGGGAATACAGTAATGTCTCCATGAGTACGACGTACTTGGGTCCGCTTCGGAGCATTTATGACAACACTGGAAGGTCTTCAGCCCTTCATAAATTTGTTTTTTGCCCGAAGCCGAGCCTCCACTTAGCGTCTGTTTACTCTGTTTTGATTAGTTCCAAAGGAGGGATTCTTCCAGTGGTGGGTATTACATGGTTGTTCGTGTCGCATTCATCGAGGAATCACTGTAGATTGTATTTATCGTATGAACTCAGTGAGTAATCATAAGGTGTAAATAAGGATTATACGATGTAAATATGTAGCATGTATATACTTTCCTTCTTCAGTGTGCAGAGTGTTCGTATAAAAGCCACAGTCCCTCGAAATCTTCGATTGCACGTGATCATATAAATTTATTTTGTGCGATACAATTGAAAAAATATATACAATACACTTTATAAAATGTACGAGAATCGAGAAGGTGCCGTAAACGACGAAGTAATCTCGAAATTAAATTCAATTTCGCAAATTGAAAATATAATCTTTAGCGCCGACAGCGGTTTATTTGGATTAAATCATTTCTTATATACTTATCTCAATTATGTTCATTTTACTTCGACGAGACCATATATCCACGAAGGAAACACCAGTGCGTTGAACAATTTTAACAAAAAAAAAAAAAAGAAAATTTTACGAAATTAATATTATTTAACAATCTTGCGCCCAGAGCGTTCGTTAACAAATAAATAATACCTAATCGACGAAAGAACGTGAGTATCGTGAGTTTCGTGAAATCTGTAATCAACGTATTATGCGTTATACCAGATAAATCATTTTATATACAGGGTGTCCCATTTGAACCTTTACAGTGTGTCAAGTAGAATTTACTTTGTTTCGAGATGGACATTTTATGATGGTTGTAAATCTTATCTAAGTGGACGTACCTTCGAAATTTCAAGGTGACCCTTGTTTTTTTTAGATGTTTTCGTTTAGGTAGACGTATACATAGCTCACTCCGTAACGAATTCATTGAACTTTAATATATTGGTATTTCAACGCCATTCAAGGTTATTCAAGGTCATTCAACGTCATACAATGTTATTTACTAATCGTTCAAAACTGATCTACGTTGAACGTCCTCAGGGTTTCTCTTATCAGAGTACATATTTCGTTGATTCGCTCGTAAACATCGTCACCTGTGTATTACTTGTGTAAGTTTTGAACGATAATAAATGACCTAGAATGAAAACATATAGGTCCAATTTAAAAGAACAAAGATCACCCTGATATCTAGAAGGCACCGTCCACCTAGAGAAGAAATATGACTATCATAAAATGTTCTCTTCGAAACAAAGTGAATTCTATTTCGAACATTTTTTGGAATAACGTTTAGTTCGAGATATAATTGGGTGTAAAGTTTCAAATGGGACACCCTGTATATATATTTATATATGCATTTCCATTGTTTTTTTTTGTTTCTCATATATACAACGTTACACTGTACTTACATAACATCACATCGTTCGCTATGATTGATAAATTGGTGTCCTTAACCTAAACGCGTGCCTATTTAATTAATACGACTCGCACGCTCTATCCGATGACGACGAATCTTAAATGGTAGCAGATACAGATATAATACTTCCTCATTTCTTCGCGATAATATTCTCTTAGTTTACGCATTACGTGTCGAGTAATATGTACAAAGCACTAACAGCTGGCGGAAAGTATTCGATCGAATAGATAAACGTTAATCGTTGTAGTAAGTATATTTACATTATAAAATCAATTTCGCCAATATGTAACGAATTTTGTTGAAACTCATTCACGATAAATTAATACCATTGTCGGATTCCTTTGCAATCCTACTGTGAATTTCAACCCTTTCAGACCTGGTGGTCACATTTGTGTACCCTCGCGAGTAAACCGTGCTTCAGCCAGAGGAAAGAGTTACATAAGAAAAGGGCTTCCTACCACTTGGTATATTTATTTTAGGTACTGAAACAAATGTTAAATTGAATGTTAATTTGGCATAAATTTCAGTAATTTCCAATACCAAGTGGTAGGAGTATGATAGGAGGCCCTTTCCCAACGCCACTTTTTCCCCTAACGGAAGCCGAATTTGTACGTCAGTGTACATGAAATTTCTACGCTGATATTTCGGTGAGAATGAATGTTTCGGAAATTCACACAGTGTTGTACATATTTGTGAATATGAAAAGCAGAAAAAAATAAAAATAAAAGAAATTATAAACATTTTTTTAAACTAAATATCATCTAAACAGTGTTTCGAGTTAAAATGTGTAATGAATTATTTTTTTACTCTTAAAAGAAAATTCAGATGTGAAAGGGTTAATTTATTATGCATATAAGTTACATTAGATTTTTGATCGTAAAATATCAGTTTTGCGTTTTCAGTGAACACATTTCATGTGTCACGAGAATAATTAATTTAAATACGCGAATAATATTGCATTACATACGTTTATTCCGTTTCATCGTATACTTTTTGCCAGAAGTATGTACGTGTGCGCGTGTCCTCTGCGTGTGTGCGTGTCTAAGGACTAAGGGGCTCGAAAACCGAACGGAAAATCGAAATCTGCCCGGGAAATCGATCGTGGGATCGGGGTTAATATCATACATACACTTTAATGTTTAGCGAATTGTAACTATTACTCTAGTATTTACACAGATATGTCATATATCGATACTTCGGGTTACGTTGTTTCTCGCGGGGAACGGGACGAAGAAGGAATGCTTGAGCAAATACAGTAAATCCTCGATAAGTGTTGGAAGACACCTCGGAATTTACAAGGAGAGGTCCCCAGGTGTAACGCTGACTTTTCAATGAGGTTTAGCTTCTTGTTAGTAATAGGACTTGGAATTCTGAAGCCAATGATATTTGTGTAACCTGCATATGGCCGTCGGTGTATGAAATATTTAATGTTCAGTGTCAAAGGAGCCTTAGAACACTCATCAAGGATTTAATGTAATGAAAAAGTTTCAAGCACGTTTGACGCTGTTTTTAGTACTGAAATTCTTGTATTTCGATTTTAAGTTTGTAAAAGGTGTTACAGTTGACGATTTACCGAATAAGATTGGTGAAAAATTTCAACTGACGACATTATACGTTTAGAAAAGCATTGGTAAAGTACATCCTAAATGTTAGATTATTGCACGATAAATGTTGTTCTTGAAACGCATTTCATTTCGTCTACCTGAGAATCATTAAACATGGGATCAAGAAGCTTTCGACTCGTTGATAAAAATCTGTCCATTGAAATAAATCTTTCTTCGACTAAAAATGTTCTGTTCACGATAAAGTGGAGGCAATCCTAAGTGGATAATATTGTTCATTCCCGGGTGAAATCTATATTTTTTCCTTCTAATTTAATTAATTACATTTTTCCAGTTTTGAAAATTGAAATCTTTACGCTAGAGAAAGGTATAGATTCTAAAAAAATTTAATTTTCATGTGCAAAGCATTTATTAATATTATTATCATTTAAAACTCGACTTTAAATAGTTATAAAATCTCTTAAGTGTTCATTCATTGGTGTGTTTGCCGTAAGTCATAATCATTCGAACTCCACGGTTCAAAACTGCCATTTACTCTATGCAATAACCTAATCTCGCATAGCACATTACGTCCAGTGACGCCTTGAAGACGGCTTAAAGGCGCCTTAGACCTAAAGTAGCTGTAAAATGGGCGTCTTCAAGGCGTCATGTGCTATCTGTGAATTGTTTTATAATTTACCGCTATTAAATCGTAAAATCGAAAATCACTTGGCAATGTTATAAAAAAAGAAGGTACTAAAGACAATATTAAAAAGAATTTTTCGGACTGCACGTATTCCAACAAAGATTTATCGCAGTCGTATAATACTCGATTTACAGTCAGCGAAATCTCTCGATCCAATTCCAAGATGGCCGCCGCGCAAAAGTCAATCACACGATGTCGAACATGAAATTTTCACTGAAATCCCTCAGATATAAACTAAAAGCAATTATCATCGTAGCATGAAAATTCATGCAATTTCCAAGCTGTTAAATTTTATGCACACCTGTCTTCGTCGTTCCCCTTTCGTTGGAAATTCTTTTCACCATTCCCCATAGGTTGGGTCGATTCCTCCGAGGTGACCTTACAGTCGACCGTGTGGCTAAACCGTTCTCTCGGTAATTATCGAAGGGGTCGTTTTAGCTCCCTATCAGACCCTTCGTCCCGTTAATTAGGTACGTCGATAAAATTGGCTGTCTTGACGTAAGACGTTTGATATTACCTAGAAATAGCGGCCGATTAACGTTCAGACGGACTCGATGGCGTTTCGAAGCTGCTCTTTCTACGTTTCGAAAGGATTCCTTTCACGCTGCCAATAATGTCGCATTAACGACGGGAACGATCAGACGATCTTGGCCACGGTGAATTTTTTACACGTGCACTCTTGAGATAACGCGTGTGCCCGGTATAAATCGTAATAATATATTCATACCCGGGGATCATCGCGTGTCAAACCTTCAAGATTATCGGGATCAGCGACGATCGCCGCACTTTCGAAGTTCATAAATCGTCGCTTTTCCTCTTAAAGACAGCTGTTCCCACTAATTTCTTGAGATCTTCTAGGGTAAATGTCCCAATTCCTGCTAGTGTACCTAATACTGCAATTTTATTTATTTTATTTAATAAAAACGTATTAAGAATTGCGTTCGAACAATTTTATTGTTAAATTGGAAGTCTAATTTAGATAAGAAGAAAGAAATATATCTGGATCCCGGAGCCAGTGTGTATTAAGTCACACTTTTCAGACTTTAGAGGAGAGCAAATCAAAGGTGCGAAAACTTTGTAACTTTGGAATCGTTCGGCAAGAATTGAGAACTTTCGGTAAAAAATTGTGAATTTTCGAGTTACAGCGTTTTCACTTCTGGGGCCGCAACAATATTGAAAACGACGTTTTCAATTTTGGAATCACAGCGTTTTCCGTTTCGAAGCTATGACGATATTCTTGTCGATCAAGTACAAAAGCGACTTGACTGGCGTGATCGGTTCGGTCAGGGGTTGCGGCGGCCCGTACGGCGAAGCCCATTGGCCCACCGGGTGGGTCAGCGCTGTAGGCGCCTGTTGCCTGTCCAAGCTGGGAACAGCGGTTCCAGCTGGATGGTTGGGCACCGACGTTGGATAAGCGACTTTTCCAAGCGCCTCCGCTTGTAAGGACAGCATCAAACGATTCGCCGCCTGCCTCTCAGCCTCCCTCTCCTCTGCTGTTTGTCTCCTGAAACAAACGTGGAAAGTGAGGATGATCGAGTGCTTTCATTGTTGGCGAATTGAGAATTCAACGTTGATACGAGGATAATCTGTTAGAAAGTTTTTTTTTTCAAGAAACAATCTTTAAACTCACTTTGATTGAAAATTGTTATTTGTTAACTTTTAATAAAATATTCTTTCAGAAAATATCTGAAGGAATCGTACAGCAGGTTGCCATCCTAATATAATTCAATTTCATTCATTATGTAATTCATTTTATAGAAACTAGAAATACAAAATTTATAAAAAGGTTTAATTACTATCATCACTTTTTGGTTGGTGGTAGTTCACTTTTATCACTCGATAGTATTTGAGACGATTCTGATTCGATGGTTGAATTTTTTTTTAAACATTTTTTATTTTTGAAAATCCGCTAGTTTGAAAATCGTGTAAAAAAGTATCGTGTAAATCGGGGGACTTGTGTACTGTAGAATATACCAACGATGGTCGAATAAACTTATTAATAATAGTTTAACGGGGAACAACAGTTGGAAGAAATCGGTAAGGTTAAACGAAATTACAGGAAACTCTTAAGGATAGTACGTTGAGTTGAATAGCAAGACGTGTGCAAGAGCAGGGAGCAAGAGACTAGGATGAAATCGACCGAGAGAGAACCGGGGAGGGTGAAAGGAAGACTGGCGTTCGTTGGGGCGGAAAACAGAAGACAAACGTAATAAAGTTAATTCGATTCGTTGGCGGCACAGGCGCTAGTTCGCTAAGGGGGAGCTCGAGGGTGTCTGTTTTCTAGCGGTAAATCTATTAGGGATCCACAAAATGGCCGACTTGTTGGCGACGTCGATGGTCCCCTTAAATGGACGTCTTTATCTAGAGTTTTTCTGGGTCTGGACATTTTCATTAACGATAGGTAACACAGAGGAACAAGATTAGAAATTTATTTTCTATTGATTTGTGATATTGTGAAACTATTCCGTTTCGGGACAAATCATTTTCGTCTTTCTTTACTACAGTTCTGAACTAAGATACCGCAAGTTGGGGTAACTTTGACTCGGGGATAACAACTTTGTCCCAAGTCCGAAAATATGATCATTTTTGATTGTGCAGCTTTGCGAATTATTAAATTATATTGATTTTTACGCGAAAAGGTATTTCAGGTAATATGTATTATGCTGATTAGTCGGCGTTTTTCGTTAATATCTCGTTAACAAAGCCATCTCAAAACAAGAGATGAAAAGTGGACATAGTTATTGCCCCACCCTGTATATTTCTATGTCTATGTTTCCATAGCACCTAAAGTGTGAAATTTGACACAAACTAGAAAGCCAGCGATAGCGCAGACACCGTTCAGTTGAATAAAAGCACCTATTTCTTTCGAAAATGCAATGACCCCATGCGACTAATTAAGGGTTAAAAACAAACATTACGAGGTTGGTCCGTGTGTTTCAATTGATTCGAACAGGATACCGCGCCGTAGCGAGGCCCACAATTACTACCCAGCCCGCTAATTACCCCGGGCAATACACCGAGGCCTCGATCCCACGAAGGTGTTTATTACTAATTTTTAACGAGCTTATCGACTATAGATCCAGCCTCCGTGGTCACCGTCAGCGACGAGAGGCCTCTTTGGCCGATCGGGCCGAAAACTCGGTGCAGACCATAGTCTGGCAGGCGCCAGACGGGATAGCGCGGCCAATCAGGGTCCAAACGGGTGCCGTTGGGAGCCTCACGAAACACCATCGTTCCATTAGAGTTAATCTCCTGCCCCCCTCCTTCCTGAGGGTAATTAAACGGTTTCGTTGTACCTTTGTTTATCTCAGCGCGCGAGGAGCCTTTCCACAGGCGGTTTCTCCGTAGCTACGACGCTGTCCTCCTCCCCCCAATCGGTAGCCACGGTGTATCACCGGCGAAGTCGGTTCAATCGGGACACAACTCGATCGGTTGTTGCACGATTAACGGACTAGAACGGCCGCCAGTGTCGAGCAGAGATCCCCGATAACGGGATGGACCTTGTTGGTCGTCCAATCAGCACACACGATCGACCTTCGTTTATTCGCAATAGATCGTTCTTCGCTGTGGCTTGGTAATTGTATGAAATTGCTGACTTATCTGTTTGTGCCTTTGTTGGATTTCGAGTGGTAGAATCGTGTGCAACAATTTTAGAGAACCTTGAAGAGGTTCATTCTATTTTACGTAACAGAGTGTCGTAAGAGTCTAATTGAGGACCTTGCAGGTAAAGAGGTGCAGCTCCATTTTTAATAACTTTAAGTAAATTAGAAAAAACCGTTTATAAAGTTGTTGCTTTAAAAAGAACACTAATTGAAAAACATATATTTTCACACAATAAGTAGTAGTTATTGAGTTGATAACATATTACACGTCATAATTAAAAAACTGATAAAAATGAAGTTGTACCCCTTTTGCTGTAAAGTCTTCAATTGCAAACTAAATGTTTCGGAGTTCTCAAGTCTGTGTTTGAGTTAGGTCTAACCTTTTACGAAATTGTGGTAGGGAGAAGATTTATTCAATTAACACAAATTATATATTTTACACAAATTATATTTCGTCATACATCGTACTTGTCTCTAACTAGTATTCTTCCCAGTCGGTAAGCATCAATTTCCAATCAAATCAATTCTATCGATTCAATTTCCAAATCTAGGCAGTACCTATAACTTTCCATATTTATTTTAAATTATATTTCGTCAAAAAACTCTACTTGGTCTCTAAATAGTATTCTTCCCAGTCAGTAAGCATCAATTTCTAATCAATTCGATTCTATCAATTCAATTCCCAAATCTAGGAAACACCTATAACTTTTCATATATATGATAAATTTTATTTCGCCATAAATTCTACTTGGTCTCTAAATCGTATATCCTTACCAGTTAATAAGCATCAATTTCCGGCTACTCGTTGTTCCCTCATTCGTAATTCATCTAATCCAGTAAGGATCAACCGTACATCGCCGCGGGCGAACGGAAAACAAGAAATCCGAACTGAACATTTCGTAACCGAATTACAACGTTTCCCCGGGGCCGATCGCAGTAATTTTACGAAACTGGTTGTTCCCCCGTTTACGCAACACCCGTGTGGACCTAAAGACCGGTAGCACTCTCGGCCCCCGTGTGTGTCTCCTCGCAACGAATTACGCCGCGATTCGGCCCGATCTGAAGAATCGGAAAGCGCCTCGTTAATTTCACCTTTTTGCCTCCGTTCCCCGCGTTGGGCAAGCCTTACCTGAACTTCCTGTAATTTGCTACGGCCGATATTAATTTCTCGTTTCGCCGATACTTTTGTTTCCATGGAAGCACACACAAACACGCGACGGTGTAACGATAGAGAGAAGAACGTAGAGGCAATAACGATTTCCGAAAATTTTCCTCGTTTCAAGGCTCGATTTTTTCTTGGAGAATGATTGAGCTACCTATGGCCGTTCGAGTAATTGGATGAGCAGATTGCGTAAAAACAACTGGTTACTAAATGTGTATTTTTACCTTATGTCTTCTGGAGACATGAAGCGTATTGGTGCTCTTTGTATTAGTAATTTTTTACAGTGTAGTTTTAACCCTTTCGCTGTTATTGGTGCCAAAAGACGTTTTGAAATTTCGTTCAGAGTAGATGCTGTTGGCGCGTATAGACGTTTAAACCATGTCGCTCACCAACAAATTAAGAGTACTTGTAGGAAATACTGTAAGTGTTAAACATCAAATTTTTCAAGAGGAAAGAAAAGTTACCTGACTTTAGATTATTTAAAAATTGAACAGAACATTCTTGAAAGCTTCAACTTTCGATTACTACCAAAAAAAGTGAACGATAAAATTATTGAATAAGAAACGTTATACAAATTTCTTTTTAGTACGAGCCTTATGGAACTGTCGTTGATACTGAGAAGTTAATCACTTCCCTATTTAGTTACAAACTAACACACTTGAATAATAATCAGATGATTATAGATTTTTTTGCTGAGATTATGATGGCACGGAAAAAAAGATATGTTAACGATCAAATAAAATTAAAAATTAAGATATATTAATATAGTCAAATCGAGCCGAAAAGTGCACGAGGATTAAGCCTGAAATTCCGCAGTAAACCAACTTTAGCAAAATGCAAATTCGAAGCTTCCTCCATCGAAGATAATGATGTTTAGAGAATTGTAAATGCGAATTCAGGAATCCTTGCGTTGATATCGACGCGTTCGTTACCGGGTGATCGATAAGATTTAATGGGGTAGGCCTGTCGGGGAACGATCACGTTTACCTCTAACGAGGAATCCAGCCGTGGCTACGCCGTTGTTTCAGTGACAGCCGCGCCTACACCCCTGCAAGTAATTAACGCGGTTAGCAATTAATAATTGAGGGCGCCGTGCCGATTACATTTTGCAGCCCCGACAGAGACCCCAACCTCACCTGGTTAGCAATTAATAATTGAGGGCGCCGTGCCGATTACATTTTGCAGCCCCGACAGAGACCCCAGCCTAACCCCCCACTCGCTTGTGGCCGGCGTAACTGTATTCTCTCGCAACCTGGGACACATTACTCTTATCGTTATTCCCGTGTATATTCAGCTATAACTTTTCGCCGAAAGTTCGTGCATTCGTGAATTCGATAATACAAATTCGACTATGTCTTCTAATGGAGACAATATATACGCAATTTTTGGTCCTGGAAGTAGTGTAAATTGAGGAGCGACGCCACAGGTGTAATATTTTTCGATTGGAAAAACATAATTACATATACTGTATCGGACAAAAGTATTCGTACGCCCTTTCAAACGGAACAACTTTTTTTAAATTGGTCGAAATGACTTCAGTCCTTTTGTGAAGTTAGGGACATTAGTTTCCTAAATGATGTGTAAACAAAAATTGAAAAGATTGCAATTTGTCTCGATATGCAACATCCAAAGGCACAAAGTAAAAAATAAACATTCTTTACGTGTCCACATCACTCCTTCAAACATCCCCCAAGACGCACATCTGTTTCATTTTCTCCAGACCCACAATTAGCACCTAAA